TGTTCTGCATACAGGTTGAAAAGGTATGGAGATAGGATGCATCCCTGGTTGTTGTTTAGATGTCGTCAATTCAACTACGACTCATGGCGACCGTATGAATGAGAGATCTGCACCCAGCTCATCACTTGAGCCCATTGTTACAGTCACTGTCCATCTGTCCCCCTCTTTTGCTGACCCTCCACTTTTCCCAGCGTGATTTCCTTTTCCAAGGACTGGCCACTCCTAACAGCATTCCCAGAGTATGTGAGATGCGGTTTCCCCGTCCTTCCCTCTAAGGACCAAATGCCAGTCTCGGTTCCCTGTGCCCTCCTCACACCTCCTGGCCTGGTCCTCACGCCCACCCTCCCCCGACAGGCCATGCGAGGGGCCCGGCAGGCAGCCAGCTTCACCCTGAAGGTGGAGGTGGAGTGCAGCAGCCTGCAGGAGGCCGTGGACGCTGCTCAGGCTGGCGCAGATCTCGTCATGCTGGACAACTTCACGCCTGAGGTGAGGCTCTGCTTCCCGCGGGGTGCAGTGTGTTGTGGCGGCCCTCACCTCCCCTCGGCTTGTGTCCCACAGGAGCTACACTCCACGGCCACTGCCCTGAAGGCCCAGTTCCCAAGCATAGGTGTGGAAGCCAGCGGAGGCATCACACTGGGCAACCTCCCTCAGTTCTGTGGCCCCCACATAGATGTCATCTCCCTGGGAATGCTGACCCAGGCTGCCCCGGCCCTGGATTTCTCCCTCAAGCTGTTTGCTGAAGGGACCATCCCAGTGCCCCGTGCCTGCCGGTCCTAAAGCAGAAGGGGCAACACTGGACGTGGATAAGTGGTTCACCTGACGTACTCACAGTGAAGCACCTCTGAGGACAGGCGCCGAGTTTCACCCTGGCTTGGCCTCTGCTGCTATGTGGCCAGCCAGGCCTTAACTTCACCTCCACGTGACTCAGTTTCCCAATCTGTCAAATGAGTCTAATAAACAACTAACCTTTTGAGATTTCAGTGGGAAATGATGAGATGGAAGGTTGGTATAAAGTGGCTAACACTGCGTCTGGCACCGAGTGAGCACTTGGTGAATGTTAGCAGTGACCATCGTTCACCCATTTCAAGATGCACACGGTTTTGTTTTCTTCTTCTGGTACCTTGTCTGATGGCAGGTGCACTTTCAGTCAGTCTCTGCTGGGCAGCTGTCTTCATGAAGCTGGTCCAGCGTGTGTACAGCTTAGGGATTCTTTTTTTGTCTGCACAAGAGTAAAATATGGTGGCCATCTGTGGCGGAAATGAGTCCACAACAATTCTGTTAACAACTAGAAAGTGGAAATTGCAAGTGATAAGAAGGCCTCAGTTACCTTAGGACCAACTGACACGTTCAACGTCCTGCTCGGGTGAGGAGTGACTAGGTCTGCCTCAAAATTTGCAAAGACCCATCTAAAGTACCACTGTTGATCTCTCTCTGACTGGAACAAAGCAGAGAAGAAAAGCAGAGATGTACTGAAACAATTAGGCCAAATGACCAATGGACCATAGAGCATCAGTCTCGTGACCTTGAGGCCAGATCTCGACGGTGCTTAGCCACTATCATTGACCGAAGGGATCACAGTAGAAATTCCTGGATAGAGTGGAGGTAAATTGAAGTTAAACTCAAAATCGTAACGGAAGTAGAGCTTACTAGTCTGACAGAGACTGGTGGAACCCTCAAAACTATGGTCCTTGATCACCCTTCTAATCTGAAACAAAACTGGCTCAGTGTTTAGGCAAGCGTTAGACAGGTCTATGAGGAGATCAATAACACAAGAGAGTCACTCGTTAAAATAACCAACCATGTAAGGTCAAAATAGCAGCTTCACCCAAGGACAAAGGCCAGGAAGCCAGAATCGTGGCTGGAAGGATTCATGGAAACAACCATCACAGGGAGGAAGTGGGAAAGGTGTTTGGCTTTGTGGGCATCTCCATTAATGTTATAAAGGAAAATGTGTATAAATACTTCAGTGAGAAACCAACTTTCTTTTCAAACTTTCCCTTAAATCACAGTAAGAAAAGGAAGCATTGGTTATGGTTTAATGAGCGGTTTTCCTTTTCAGTGGTAATTTGTGTGTTTTTATTCAATAGTGTCTTGTATTTGAAGATAGGTGGCATCAGGTCTAAAATTCAACTGGAACATTCCACGTGAATGATGTGCTCGGTCATTGGTGTTTTGCATCTTACCTCTGTTATCCGCTGTTTGGTAGAGGTGAGGGTTTATCCAGGCAGTATATGCATGCTTCTCCACAGGACAGAATAACCCATCCATTCCGGGCTGAGGACCGTTATTTTTCTTTTTTTGTGACTGAGTCTGTGGGGGTGGCACTAGTTGGAGGAGAGTGCTGAGTACCCAGCAGCTGGGGGTGGAGGGAAGGTCATCTGAGGGAGAAGGGGAGGGGGTGATCAAGTCAAACTTCCTTCCACCTAGTTAGCTGTTAAGGATTGCCCAGGCTCAATGAAGCCAGCCTCCAACACACACACACACACACACACACACACACACACACACATGCACACACACGATGCTAGAGAACTCACCTACCATCACCTCAAGCCTGAGGCTTGCCTCTTACTAGCTTTCTGAGGGTCTCCGTGAGGAACTGGGACAGAGGGGATTCTAAGATGAAGATGACCCCCAAAGGTGACTCCTTCAGAGGTGATCCACTGCAGCCTATCTCAAAACCAGCTCTTTCCAACCTTATCCTCCCAGAAAATTCTTTCCTCAAGGGCCTCTGGTGTCCCTGGCTGCCTCGAGGTACCTTACCCCATCCCCTCCTCAACCCTGAGACAGACCAAGGCCTCCTTCCTTTGCTCCACAAGCTTTGGAGCACGTAGCACTTTCCTCAAGGGGGCTCAGAGTGCCAGGCAGAGACAGACGCTCCCTCTGTGGTTGCCCTGAACCAAAGCAGCCTTCTGTCCATGAGACACAACCTAGAGTGGCCTCTGAGGCTGCGCTTGTTCTTCCTCATGCCCGCCTCTCCCTGGGATCCTGCCCTCACTCCAGGAGGAGGGAGATGTGGATGTGCTTAGCCAGGCTGCCTTCCCTGCCCCGGAGAATGTAGTCCTCACAGCCCCAACTTCTCACACCTTGAGCAGGGAAAGCAGACCCTTTCTAGAAACACGAGCACTTCCTGTGGACCAGTCAGGAACTGGAAGGCAAAATGTTCAGGGTCCAAGAGGGAATGCTAACAGGCAAAAGAGAAGGGTGTGGGGTAGAAATCACATATTCTTCAGGATATAGGCAGATAAGATAAATGGGGGAAACTGAAATAAGACCAATACTGGTGGGCTGTGGCCAGCTAGAGAATGCACACTGCACCAACAGGCTTTCCAATTAAACAAAATTAAAGGCATACTGCCAAACTTGAATCTCAGCCTCATCCCTGGACCAGGGATTGGTCAGCCCTAGCAGAAACGTCCAGGGAAAATTCTGGGTAAGCAAAAGCAACACATTCCCCCCTTTCAGGGAAACGGATTTCTGGGCAGGAGAGGACGACAGAGGCAGGCATCCAAAGGTGGGAAATGACTTGCATGGTTTGGTGTAAGATTTGAAGCCACAGTTGGGACAAGCAGCATGACTAGGAAATGGCCTGGGTCCAGGCCACAGAATGGGTAGGTCAGAGGGCTTGGACGCTGGCCCCAGAGCAATCAGATTTAAGCTGAATAATGAAATAAGTGTATTTGTAGTGAGATTGAATCTGCTGCAGGAAGATGCGTTGGAGGAGGCCAAAGCG